TTTTTTACACAAAAAAATAACATTCTGAAAATTTGAAGAGATTTCAATTAAAATAAGGGGTACCTCCCATACAAAATTTTCAATTGGCTCAAAAACGAATATTTTGTATGGGAGGTACTCTTGATTTTGGTTGAAATTTCTCCAAACCCTCCGAATGTTATTTGTGAAAAAAATAACCTGTGCAAAGTTTCACGCCATTAAGGTAGCATACAGACATGGCTCCCATACAAAAATCCAAATTTGTTGTGACTTTAGTTATGAAAAGTGTTTCAAAAATAATCTTTATGGCAAAATTAACGTCAGACATATTTTTATAGTATTTTGTTGGAAAATAGAATACTTTCAAATGTCGTACAAATGGGTTCATCATGAAAGTGTGAAAAATCTTTTCTTGGCTACTTCTGCTATTAAATTAAAGAATATTTCGTTGCCAAAGTTGAAAAATATTTTTTGGTCTCGAACTTTACGCCGCTTGAAAGACTTGAAGAATCGAGCAAATATTATTTTGAACTTTCTTAATAAAATACGCAACTACCACCGTGCGGAAAAGTTCGTCTTACTCCCGTAAGACTCTTTATTTTTATGTAAAAATAAAGTTCGGAAGAAAAAAATGTAAATAGTATGTAAATGTAGTTATATAAAGAACACATGAACATTTCGAAAGAACACATAAATATTTCGTTTTTTTGTAATCTAAATAAAACGTATTTTCAAAACAATATCATTTCATCGCTGATAGGTTTTGTAATTAAACAGCGTGCGTGTTGCTCTTCGCCTGACCCTTTAGCATGGCCTTCATACTTTTGTAGAGAGAGTATTGTATGATCAACAAGTAGAAAAAGAAGGCTGAAATGTGGAAAATTTAAATTAATCGGTTATTTTATATGGGTAATTATGCAATTTTTTACCTGTTACACAAAGATATAGAATAAAAGTAATGATTTTTGGTCCATTTGTATATGAAAATAAATAAAAAGACGCGTTGATGCTGAAAAGTATCGCCACAATAATCGAGAAGAACGATTGGATGATTCCTGGTATCATAAATTTTGGTCTTCCCTGAAATTGCAGAATTTAATTAGAGAAATGATAAAAAATTGCTGTAAAATCCCTTATACATGCATGAAATCATAAACGTATTCATAAAGAATCAAATTGCAAATAAAACTTACAGCAAGTATACCCAAAAGGAATGTGATGGAAAGGACTATGCAAATACCTGCAAAAAATTGTGAATCGCTTTAAGTTTGATTCCCGAAGTCAAAACTGGTGCTGCAAATATGACTTACAGTTCAAAAACGCCAAAAACTCCGGTGGTACAGTTACATAGGTTTTTTCTCTCGTTCCTCTGAGTTGGAAGCTAACGAAAATTCGATAATATTTTTTTAAAATTTTTAATTTTTTTTTGTGGAAAATGAAATCTCTGAACTTTCTTACAAAATATCTCTTTGATCTGTATTGAGAATCGTGTATGTAAAATAGATCCGAAAAAATACATCCAATACACCCATCATAATGCCGGAAGTCTCTAAATCGATGTAACCACAACAATTTTTCACAGTTAGACACGGCATTTTGAATTTTGTTTCAATCAATAAACTCGATTAATCAAAATTAAATTCCAAAATATTCAAATAATTTCTGTTTGGTTCGAAATGAGTGAATTTTTTCAAATCTCAACTCGTCTGAATTCAAACGACCACAATACGTAAATAAACTCCGTAGAATGGACCAAATACAAAAGAATTCAAAAATTCGCACAAGCGCAGTTGCTTGAATTCGGAAGACCGGCGACAGTCAGTCTGCGACACTAACACATATGCACAATTGAACGATTATCCATTCCAGTGCGTGCTATAGCATCCACGCGTAACAAAGAAATGTATCACATACATTTGGCACTATGTAGTATGTACTCATTTTGAAATTGTGGATGAAACGAGAAGTGATGTATTGAAGGAATGACGAGCGTTGTTTACAAAACATAAACACAACAGATTCTTAATATGTGCAGATACTATGGCACCAATACCATCCTGTTTTGTTTCACTCAAATCGGTATTCCGTATAAATTCTATCTGCTTGGAAACGTTCACCATTGGGTTATATGAATGAAGTGACTGTTTGTTTGATGTAATGAGAGTTCATTGCTTCACAATGTTAAAGTTGAAAGATTGCCAAGTTGTCAATAAACAGTACTTTTATGATCATGTTGTCTGTAGACTACAATAAAACTACAGACTGTAGTTAATGCATGAAAAATTGTTGTATTCTATCGTTAAATATTGCGTTGACCTATATTTGACGCACAGCGAGCGTATTTTTTTCTGAAAATATAAAAGATATGCTGTTTTTAACTAGATTTGAATAAAAAATTGCAATAATTTTCGATTTGTAACAAATGTTTTATTAAATTCTTCAAAATTCAGTCATATTTTCATCAGATTCCATCTGATTTCCACTAAACTATGACGATATTCTTTACACATGGCATTTTCCTTAGAAGAGATATGGATAGGTGTATGGATATGAGTAAGCTGTTGCGTATGGTGACGGCACATATGAAGCACGAGCTGCAAAGTATGGAGATGGAGCTGCGGCGGCTACAAGTGGTGCGGGTGCTGCGGCTACGAACGGAGCTGCAGCAGACACGACTGGTGCTGCAAATGGAGTGGCAACTGCGTGATTGATTGCGTGTGCATTGTACGATGTGGCAAAAGGCACAATTGCTCCAAATGTAGCCGAGAAGAACATGGCCAGAACGACGAAGATCTGGAAAAAAACGAAATTTTTGTTATTTATTGCACTTGATTCACTTGATTTTTACATAAAACACTATGAATAATACTCACAATGCTTGTTGATGCCATTTTAAATTGAATAATAAATCAGATGGTCACTGTTGAAGCGATGGAATTGATTTGATATCAAATGACAGTGGTCATTACGCTTTTATACACTCCAAAAACCCACTACAAATCACATTTTAGCAAAACAATCACGATGTGTGAACGTTATATGCAGACGTATTACGACTATGAACTATGCATATTGATTAGCTTCTTCATTGGCATTAAACGGTATTGACTTCAGTAAGTCAATAGTTGCAGTTACTTTTACTATTCATTTGAGAAACATGTGCAATTACCAATAAATTCACCTTTTTTTAATGTTCAAATGTTACTTAAACTTTTTGAAATCAATCCGTGTAGCATGAGTGTGGATGCAACGTGTGTTCATCGAAAATCGATTTATATTCATACCGTTCTTCCATTGAACAACAGTGTTACAGCGAAATTAATGAGGCACACACTTGGGCTGACGATTTGTTTACAAATGAAATATATGACAAAATCAAGGTCGGCTCTCATTACATAAATACTTGAAATAGATCATTTCATACGATTTATTTGCAGTTATTAGCACATTGACCCGGTTAAGAAAAGGCATTTTTGTGACGTAAATAGTGTCTTTTACAATCAGTTTGCCGCAATGAAGCAAAAAGCACAAAATAATGATAGATATATGTGATTTCATTTCCACATGGATTGGGTGGGAATGGAAGAAGCAAACAAATTGTATCCAAAAATTCAATTTCATTTGAGCTTATTGTTATTCATTGAATAACGACTGTAATTTGAACTATTTCGTCGCTCCAATTGATGACATGCCAATATATTTTCAATAATGGCGAAAAAAGTGAAATTGGATCACCGAATATATGTGTGAAAACCCCGAGAAATTGAATGTTCCGAACTAAAGTTGATTGAAAGTAGGTTTCCAACCAATCTTTTCCTCGACTTTCTTTTCTTCAGTTTATTCGCAGAGATTCATGCTGAGAATAAAAGTGGGAATGACCACACTTTCAAACTTGTGCTTACTAAATGCACTTACTCGTAAGAAAGAGTCGAAGGGTGTCTTCGGTGAACATCCTACTTCGCCGACGACAATTCTCAATTTTCTTTTATCAGATAGTTACCAAAGACATGAGGGCGAAAATGTGGTTCCACCTTAATGTGGATCCCAGTTTGTTTCAATTAAATTCTTTCATGCTTTGATACCTTTTTGCAAAAGGCATCATAAACAAAGTTGTTCAACTTTGGTTAGAAATAACCAATTTGGGTTCCGAAAAAAGACAACCAAGTTTGTGACTGTTTTTTTCCAAAGAAAATTACTTTATGAATAAATAGGAATAAACATGCAAAATCGACAACATCCACCGATATCCATGGCAACCCATATGGGTTGACGGTTGATTTGCTTTGGAAACATGCACCTGTATTAAATCGATAAGCTCATTTGTATGCGATTTATTGGTGTTTTTTTGGGGAATGACGCTTCATTCATTACGGTCATATTGAGCAGGAAACATCACTTTTATTCTCCCGGTTGAATAATTTCCGATTTGTGTGGCGAAAAATGGCCCAAAATACAGATGAGTTAAAAATACGAATGAGGTAAAGAAAATTATATTTTTTAAAGATTTTTTAAGTTCTTTACAAAAATGTTCATTACCTTTTTTATTGTTCGTAAACAGTATGACGAGAGAAAATCTAATTAATCTATGCAAAAAGAATAAACTCTATTTAACGCCGTATTTGAATGATGTTCTGTATTTGCATTATCAAGGTGAGTTAACTTGTTTATCAAACATTTCTTTGGACATGAAACGTTTGGACGAAAATGTTGAATATTATTCCAGGATACCGAAAAATTGAAAATCTCGACGAATTCATTGGAGTAAAGTGTTTATGGTTGGAGTGTAATGCGATATCTGAAATATCTGGGTTGGAAAATCAACGGGAATTGCGCTGTTTGTATTTGCACAACAATTTTATTCGGGTAAATTCAATTCAATTTCAAAGAACAAGTCCAACAAAAAAAATTTAATTTATTTAACGATATTTTGTGGCCAAAAATTGTTATTTTTTTCTCTCTTCAATAGAAAATTGAAAATCTCGATAATTGCATGCATCTCGATACCCTGAATTTATCACACAATTACATAAAATCAATTGAAAATTGTAATTCAACAATATTACCAAATTTGAATACGCTAAATCTATCGCACAATTCTTTGTGTGCCATTGATGGACTGGAAGAATTGATTCAGTGTAAAAACCTATCCGTTTTGGATATTTCACATAATCGCATTGAAGACGTATTGATTGTGAAAATTTTATCACAAATACCCGAATTGAGAGTGCTTACGTTGACTGGAAATCCGGTTATAAATGAAATTCCATCGTATCGGAAAACATTGACCGTGGAATGTGTAAGTAAATTTTCACATTTTTTCAAGAGCGAGAGATTTTTAAGAGAATTGAAATTATTCTCGTTAAAGAATTTTTTTTGTCGTTGTTAAGGGTTATCAATTTTGAATTTAAAATCAAAATTGAGATAACCACCGATTCACATTGACCATAGTAAAAGTTAAGTAATCGTCTAATCGATACCGTTGAGTTCATTAAAATTCGTACAAGTTTACACGTACTAAAAGATAAATGTCGAATTGCGAACTGGCGAAAAAGCATCGACAAATTAATTGCTACCAATTTCGAAGAGTATCAATACATTTAACAGATATAAGTTGGCAAGAAAACCGAGTCAAAATTTCGTTAAAAATCACATAAATTCAAATTTGTTTTGCCTTCATTTCAATAAGTTTGGTTTTGTTTTCTATGGAACCTTCCGTAATCAAATCTTGTCTACCAGTTTTCTATTAGAAGGTTTTGTAGACCAGCGGGTCGCGTACCATCATTTCTACTACCACTGCTCTAACTATAATTCAAACACACTCTTTGTTTCCATCAAAATGAACAAATTCTTTCTTTTTTTAGAAAAATCTGACCTACTTGGATAGTCGTCCGGTTTTCGAGAAGGATCGTGCATGTGCTGAAGCTTGGTATGAGCGACAGACAATTTTTTTTTGTCAATAAATAATACATTTATTTTATATTAGGAAGCGTGGTGGTTATGAAGAAGAGAAACAAGAAAAATTGAAATGGAAAGCCGCACAGCAGAAGAAAGTTTTCGACAGTGTACGAGGTGAGTGGAGTTAAAATGGTCATGGAAGAACGACTGAGCTGAACATATTCTTCTTGTATTTGAATTATTCATTTTTAAATTTTATATTGTATAAAATCTTGTCCTATTTTGTTAATCGAAGTTTCAATAATGCATGTTATATTCCAGCTACTCTAAAATTTCGTCAAAACCTACATACAAGGAAATCGTCATCGGTATGTATGCATTGAGCACTGTTCAATGTTCAATATCCAATTGGCACTTATTAGCCGCAATAAAATTTTCAATCATTCCAGCAATCAATCGATGCCGATGACAACAGTTGCACAAATGTCCCATGCGCTGAGTCCAATATCAACGAAATAATAGAGAATGTGGAAAATGCTATAAAAACAACTATATTTGGCGAACAGATTAATAATACGGAATCGGAGTCAATATGTGCAGATGCCGATAGTGAAGTAGATTTCAATGAAAGAACCATTCCCTGCGATTCGAATGAGACTATTTCTCTGCAGACACTTGAAAACGAAGACAACTCAAAGTTATTGACAATGGTCGAACCCAGTGTGATGACTTCCAACATTGACGTAGCCGAATACAAAAAATATAATACAAATATTCTAAATATTTGTATTGAATCAGAAAATGGGAATGGATCTACTGCTGATCGAACTGAAGACAGAAATGGCACACCAAACTCATCAAAACCAATCATGATCGAGGTGCTCTCGGATTCAGATTCAAGTGATTCATCAAAAGTTGACGATCCAAGCAATTCGAATGACAGCAGAAAAGCTACGGATAGTATTGAGATAATCGATTCTATGGAACAAACACCGGTTGGTTTCAGTGATAATAATTACACTGCCGATCCAATTCATGACAGCAACGAGACCAAATCGAATAAAAATTCCATAACCTTCTATTGTGGAAATTTGGACGCGTTGAAGGGAACTGACAGTGGTTCTGATTGCAGCATTGAAGAGATCTAAAAATATTGTGTAATTTGACGAGAAAAAATGTGGACATCGTGAGAAAATGTTAGAATTGAATAAATGAGAAAATTCAATTAAATGAAAAAAAAAAATGTTTTATTTGATTAATGTTGTACTTTAAACAGTTTAATTTGTATGCACAGAAAAGTTCACTAAATTAAGTTGTAATCCGAATCGCAATTCTGCCAAACAATTGTCAATGCAACAGAGAACGTTCCCTTTCGCAAATCAACATTAATGTTGTTTTTCTCGCTCTCACTGCTGCACGAACTAGGCTACCATAACTGCACAAAGACAGCGTTCGTATTGTGATATGTGACACTTAGCACGTTGCGCACAATTAGTCGGTGTTTGTATTCTCAATCGTACGATAGCAAGTGCTTTGCGGTGTTTCATATTTATTGAAATTCTCTCTTTTAATTCATTTTGGTGCATCAATTCATATCAAAGGCCGATCTGGTCATTGGAATACAATTTCCACGATTTTTTTTTTTGGGTAAATAAAGAATTTTTTTCCACAAAAAATAGATTTGTGTCGGTGTGTTGGTTGAGTGGCTAATTGCTTTGCATACATTCAATTCGTATGGTTTTGTGAATTAATGTGTTTGTTGTTGCTTTTTTGACGTTTAGTACAGGGAACAGTTGTACGTCACACAATCTGTATGTATTTTTGGCGCGCAAATCCTTCAACATAATTGCATTTTTCTTTCATTGATTTTTCTCTGTTTTATTGTCTGTTGTTTTTCTGTGTCATTTTCATTTATTGAATGACATGTTCGCATTGAATTGGAATAACTTCGTGGTGTATTTACACAGAGTATTATTAAATCATTAGAGCTACCGTAAGAGGTGTGACAAACATACAAAATACCGAGTTAAATATTCAAAATCCATTTGGCCACTCGATTTGTGACGCAAAATCTGTCTTTTTTGATATCAATAGGAATTATATAAAATGCCACCAAAGCGTCCACATTTGCCGCGAACAGACGGCGAGACGGTCAAACGAAACAAAATTGTCGATCCATATTGTTGGCTGTGCCATGGCAACGACACCAATATCAACTGTTCAAAATGTATCCGGTCATACCATTCGACGTGCATTAGCTTGAAGTCAGCAATTGATGTGTCGACGTTCAAGTATAAATGCAATACATGCATTAAAATGGATGTGGCCGCATCCGAATATTCGAAAAGGTGATTTTCTCAACAGTATTTTCATGATATTTTGACAATTTTTTGATGTATTCTATTTTTTATCAAAGGAGAGAAAATGTGGAAACAGTGAACGGGTTGCTGAAGCATGTAACAAAACGACTCGAGGAAGATGTCGAGGTTAGTATGCTGCGGTATGCGGTAAACAAAGTTATGACTTTTCGAACACATAGCGCTAATAGAGAGTTGGGCTGTCGGATGTTCAGTTCTCTCCGGGGAACTTTTTCTCCAATGCCAAAACTGGCACTTTACCTTATTCATCTCTTTTTCGTTTATTTCAATTTTCAGTTCGTACGTTTTATCGATTTTTTCGAAGAAAATGAGACAAAAGTATCCGATGCGGGTCTTGTCAATGTATTTGGCTTGGAATACACCAGAACCAAAGTGGAATCGGCAGGCTACAAAACAACGTTGGAACATCTAAACGATATACGATGGATTCGTCACAATGTCTCTGTTATTGCAAATTGTCCAGGTAACTGCGATTTTTCTGTATTTTTTTGGCCATCCCACAACAGAATAAAGAGCAAGTGCTGATCGCATTTCATTGTATATTTTATCAACTAAAATCGAAATTTAAAATGTCTATCGAACTTTATCAATACAGAAATTCTTCGTATGGTGAAAAGGCTTGAAAAATTCTGCATCAAAGAGGTGTACGACATAGAAATGTGTGCAAAATGTTTTGATGCTTCGAACACAGAAGAAAATTGGTTTGCTCAAGTGTGTAGTCCGCCGCATATCCTGGTATTAACTATTTTCTTAATTTATACATTTTCAATCGAATGAAAATTGATCAAGTTACCTCTGATAGGTTTGGGCGAGAGAGTCTGGTCATCGTCCGTATAAGCCAGCTAAAGTGATCGGTTCCACCAGCGAAACAAAGATTGACATTCGATTTTTTGGTGATCATGACAGAGCATTGGTGCCGCCAACCAATTGTTATCTCTATTCCAAACAAAATCCAAACCATCGAAGCGATGATAAAACCCGTATGGAGCTCATCAAAAGTTTGGAGGTAAGTTTTTATTTCTTCACACCTTTCGCAAGGTTTTTTTCTTTCAATCAATTTTGGTGTTTTTTAAATTGTGATGAGATCATTAATGGAATCGTTTTTTATCTTATAGGAGGTTGATATGTATATTAAAAATATACAGCGCAAGCACGGTTCGTTTTTGATAACATCTGAACCGAAAATTGAATTCAATGTCAAAAAAATTGCAAAGTATCTGTCAAATTTGATACCTGGTCTAGAACTACCGCCCAATTACACGTTAAAACGTAAGCCAAATTACTTGGCCATCCGTAATACATGCAGTAAAACTCCGTCCGTAAATCGGTCGAACGTGATAAGCAAAGCGTCAGTACAGCCAAAACGAGAGCTAAGACTTGTCATTGAACGTGTTGAAACGATTGCAAGACTGCAAAAATATTTGCACAGAAGCGATTCCGAACCAAATGAAATGGATTGCGATTTGGTGTCGGAGCATCAAAGCGAAGCTGAACATCCGGAAATTGACGATAATGTGAGCGAAGCAATTACCGACGATAACATGACTGAAACGTCTAATACTCAATTAATTGGCATTTTCATCGAGCCAGCATTGGCCGATGAAATTCCATCCATCGTCCAAGATATAAGTACGGTGGAAATGACATCAACCACATCATTCCTCGACGACAGTGAAACTGAAGACATTGTCGAAGAAACCATTCAAAGCGATCCACAACTGATGACTATGGATGAAATTCCAGCCGATGAGGATGAAAATCTGATAGATCGAATTTATGAACAACAACAAGAAGAAGCATTAAACGTATCGGACTTATTGGACAATGGCTACGAAATCGAGTTAAATGACATGGTGCCATTGGCACAGTCAACTCCATTCAAAGCAATAGGCTCAAACAAACATTACGATACGGCTCACACGTTGGTGGCCGAAAACAATGACACCGACATTGCAGCGCTACAGGCCAAGCTCGACGACTTGCAACAACGCTATGAACAATCAAAGGTCACCATCGAAAGTCTTGAAGTACAAGTGGCGCGTTCAACATCGGAACTCGAGGCAGAGAAGAAGGAAAATGCCAGATTGATGGCTGACATTGATAAAGCGATCGAAGAAACAAAGAATAAAATTTGGTGTACAATCTGCAAAAATGAAATAAAAATTCGTAATTCCTGCACTCTTTACTATCCAGTATGCAGGAAACAATGCCTGATTGCATTATGGTAAATAAACTGGAGATAAGAAAATATTCATTTTTTTAAAAAACAATTTTTTGGTTTCTTTTTCAGGGCAAAGTCCACGGAAGCCGAAACCGATTTGAATGACCCTCCGGAGATAGCCAACAATGAGGTACTTTTTTGGTCAAATTTTTCGATTTTTCAAGTCATTTGTATCTTTTTCTCTTTCATCGTTTAGACTTCGGCTGTAGACACACATATGGCGACACAATTATGGATCGATCAATTACAAAACAGTCAGCCACTTGTAAGTTCAATTCAAAACACCTCACGTTCAGTAACTGAAATTTCTTGGTACTAGTTGCAATTTTGTATTTTGGGAAATGGCAAACAATCGACGCAACCAACAGCTTTTTTTCTTTATTCATTTCGATACAATACATTCACACTGTAAATAAGTACGATTCAACATGATTTTTGGAGCATTGAGTATTTGCCGTGTCGACTGAAAATTCGGGCATTGCATTAATGCATTAACCACTGTTTATGTTCAAAAATTGCGCTTTTTTTCACTATTGGTTATATCCAACTGTATCCAACACACACTCAATTGCCTCAATTTTCCCCAGTTCATTTCCTCAATTCAGTCAACTGCTGACATCAGCGCGATTGTACGAACGTTCGAGTTTGCGATTCTTTTAAAAAAATGTTCTCTTCATTGCCACTAGACAATATTTTTCATAGCCTATGTTTGTTTTGTGCATCCAATTTCTAATAAAAATGTTTGTTTTTTAGACACCTGACACAGAAGTGGAAGGAGATCATGAAGATCTAATGGAAAATTTTCTTCGCAATTGCTAGCCGTTTCATTTCCGAACACATCGCATCAATCGAAACTGACATTTAAAACGTTTATCGAAAATTTTGAATTGAATTGTGATTCTTCGATAAAGATTGAATTCAAACTAGATTTAAGAAACAGGTTTGGCAAGAACTGTCAAGACCATAAAAATTGCATGTCAACAAAGACACCGATATACAAATAGTGTGTAAAAATTGCTCGTGTCTATGTTTGATCAGACACTTTTCCCATTTTAGACATAAGTAATATTGTTGGTATTCAACCAGTATGATAAGACGCAATCTGTTTTTATTGAACACCAAATCAAGTAATGTATCTCAAGAGAATGTAAAACGAAGTTCACTAAGCACTTTGATGATTTACTTTGGATATGCGTGTCCGTGACGACAAGCACCGAAAATGTGTCGTAAAAATATGCATGCCCCCAATGGTCATGCATTACCGTATTTTGTCGCATTGCAAATTCTTGGGTTTAGATTTGGTGCATACATTCAGTTAAAACGCATGTGTCGATAGACTTTAACATATTACCATTTCCACTTATTACTTTTGGGCACACTGGTGTGCGAAAGGTACATTTTGAATCAAACATAAAATCACGAATTGAACAAAAGATTGAAGTACAGAAAAGTGGATATACTATTTATAAAAATTCGAATAAAATGGAAGCGAAGAATGACCCAGAAATAATAATATTAAAATGTTAATTTTGTTAAAAAAAAATCCAATTTTTGGTTTAATAGATATAAACGAAGTATAAGTTAGAAAGCTATCTCCTGATATCTTCATGTCTTTTATCTGCTTCAAATTTCATTCACACAAATGGAAATTTTGATGAATTCCGTTGAGAAAAAAATACGGCCTTGAAAAGATTTTATATTTGTTCGTTAAAGTTTTCGAATTTCATGAAAGTATTGCGATACTTGCCAGAAGTGAATCTATTCGGACTTCTTCTCGCCAAAATTAATATTTTTAGCGTAAAAAGTGACCACAGAACTATATATATCGAATGCATATTCCACGAACTGGACACTGGAATGTAAACATTTTGATACAGCGAATATCTTATATCAAGTTATTCGCAAATTAATAGATATGAATTGATCATTTTGTTCAAGTTTCAAGTTGCATTTATATTTTGTTGTCTGTTTTTAACAACGAAAACTTTAAAATGTTCAAATTTTCCAGAAAATGGTTGGCTGAATACAAGAAAACGGAAAACCCATCTCTATTGCGTGGGATAGCGAAAGCATTTTGGAAGCACATACTCTTAGTATTTATTTTGTGTTTTATGTACAACATTGTTCTTCAAATATTTTTTCCGTTTTTTCTAAAAGGCTTTTTATCTCATTTTCGGTAATTTTCAACCATTTTAAAGCATCACATTCAAAACCAATTTAAGAATTATGATTTCATTGTAGTGAAAATCCAAATTTGTTGCTAAACAATGGTTTCAAGTATGGCACAGCATTGCTGATTCTTTACGTAATAAATGGGATGTGTCTTCAACATTTCATTTTCTATGCCAATCATCTTGGAATGAAAGTGAATGTAGCGGTGTGTAATCTCTCTAAAATGGTTTGCTGCTTTTTCATGTATTTATTGAATTAGAATGTATATAATTTCAGTCTCTACTCTCAGAAAACTCAGATGTTAAAATTCAAAGTAATCAAAGGAAAATGCCATTTTAACATGGAGAAATTTTGTCACATGGTAAAGTGCTATTTTGTCTACAACAAATTTCTTTGTGGGTAAAATGGCATTTTAACATGTGACAAAATATCTCCATGGTAAAATGACGACAAAATGCCATTTTAACACGAGGGAATTTTTTCACATGTTAAAATGCCATTTTACCCACAAAGAAATTTGTTGTAGGCAAAATAGCATTTTACCATGTGACAAAATTTCTCCATGTTAAAATGGCATTTTCCTCTGATTACTTTGAATTTTAACATCTGAGTTTTCTGAGAGTACGTCTATCGCAAAGAGCCTTAAGCCAAATATCACCAGCAAAACTAGTTAATTTTTTATCAAATGATGTCAGGTGTTTTAATTTGATATTTTTCCCTCTACATTCATTGTGGACATCTCCAATACTGGTAATAATATTTATATACATTTTGTGGCAACAAATTCAATGGGCTGGCGTACTTGGGGTTGCCGTGATTTTACTCTCAACAGCAATTCAAAGTAAATATTATTTCCGATTTAATGAAATGTTGTCATTCATTATATATTTTTTCAATTAAATAGATTACATAGCAAAAAATTCAGCCAAATATCATTTTGAAACTGCATCACGAACTGATGAACGTGTTCGATTTATGGATGAAAGTATTTCTGGCATTCAAGTGATCAAAATGTTTGGATGGGAAAAATCAGTTGAAAAAATTATCAACAACGCCAGAAGAGCCGAACTAAAAATGGTGTTGAAAAAAGGCTATTCCCTGGGAATTTTTATCGAGTTTTGGTGCTGGATGTTGGCGTTGCGCTTGAATTTGATTCACCATACGCTTTACTATCGCAAGAAGGTGGAACGTTTCGACAAATGGCTGAAGCCCTTGGATCACAAGAATATGATCATTTGCTTTCAATGGCCAAAAATAAATGAACATTGTTTATTATTTTCTGTCATTAGTTTATTTTATGAAAAATATAGACTATGTTTGAGCGTTAAAATACGAATTTTCACTTGGATTCAATCAAAGATTTGATTTCGATTTTGTTGCCGTTTTCTATAAGTTGAATTCTGTCTTGACGCTTGGAAATTGCAATATTGCGATCAGTCAACCCCTTGGAATTGTCGGCAAAATGTAATTCAATATCCTCTAAGGATCGATTTTCCGTTTCTGGTAAAATGTTGTACGCCACCATAAGACCGAAGAAGGAAATGCAAGTGAACATCAACGATATACCCGGCAAAGAGAGTGTTGTTTCTACCCACCAAACATTTGTTGTGGCAAATTCATTCATTATAGGGCATATGTTGACGATCAATATTGGGGTCGGATTTGTATGTAGTTTCAGTCAAATACAACGTCACAATGGAAAGAAAAAAGTGAAAAAACAATTCAATTAGACTGATATGAGAAATATTGACTTGATTCATAATCATCAATACTAATGAATAGTCACAATACACTTACCTACGGGATAAATTTTAGTGTGCCTCATATGAGTCCCGTACAGCACCAAGGCCACAATACTCAAGCCCAGCTAAGTAACAAAACGTTACAAGTATTATTGTTTAATTTTATCTTAATCCTACATCGACTTAAAAACTATTCATCATCGGAAACTTCGAGCACGTAATCGTCGTCACTGTCGCTATCATCGGCATTAACAGCATTTTCTACATCATTTCCATGATTTTGTGCTTGTTGTTCGCGGTGTTCTCTCGATAGCTGCGGATGCACATCTATGCCTTGCACAATACAAAGACCTATAATCGAAATCATAAGCAACAATTGTTATAAGACAAAATAATTGATTCATTGTTTTCAATCTGTAGTACAATACCTTTGTATAAAATGCAAACAGCTGCGACAATATCGCGATGCCAAACAGTTTTCAGTTGATGTGGATGACGATCATCGATCCATTCGTTGTCATCGTTTAGACGCCATTTTTTGAAACTTATAGTAAGTTTGGACACTAAACCATATGACATTTTTGGATCTTGATTGCGTCGTTGAACATCAGCCTTTACACTTTGGCGCTGTTGTTGGTATTCTCGATTGCTTTTCTTGCTGATCACGGTTTTTCCCAGTAGCCAAATGTTTGTCACTTCACCACTTGGTATACAATGTTGACACACTTTGTATCTGTCCTTCTTCGTTCTTCGATCGAATGGGCGAAAGCACTTGCCACATGTTTGTGATGTATTGAATTCATCCACATACCGTATGATGCAATTTCCCAACTTGTTGAAGCTTCGTACCAATCGACGTACACCTGGGCATCGCAATCGCTTCTTGATACCAATCGGTGAATTGGGGGCCATCTGCGCTGCACCAATGAAAATCAAGCATGCCTTTTTCAACGTAAGCCATGCTGCAATCAGATCGGAAGCACGATTTTCTTCGATGTACTTGTCCAATCGCTGTCGAAGGTATTTTCGAGATGAATACACCGACATTCCTCGTTGCATCATTTTCACACGATGTTCGATGTAACACATCCAATGTGAACGTTCTTTGGCCGATGGATAAAATGCATATCGCTTGCGATCGTCTTGTTCCAATTTGGTGAATTCTTCAATCAATTTGTCGATTTTGCGCTTACGTTTTCCATACTTGGCATGCCAGTGGTATTTCGGACCGTCGATTGTGATGTTTTCCTATGTGAGAAATAAACAATCGAAGAATTGTTATATGAGTTAAACAGATGATGTGATTGTAAATCACAAACAATGAACAAATTGTACTTAATACCTCGATGCCAGATTTTATGTGCTTGCGTACGGTCGCATTCCATGTGCGAACACCTGGATCCATTCCTAGCACAAATTTGAATTCATTGTTGTTGAATTTATCATTGATTTGCTCATTGGTTAATTCGATTATTGGCCGTTCTGGTTTGACAAAACACAATGAAATTGCAACACTGTCGGTGAGAATTGCATAATCAAACGCCTTGCCACCGCCGATTTTCAGAATCTTCGGCATATTGAAGATTTTATCCCAATATGTAGCTGGATCGTCGCTGTACATTTCCTTTGAGATACTTTTCGGTTGTCCAAACCATCCTTTTGTCAACTTCAATGCACCCAGTTTGCGCGCAAATTCATAAAAAAGGTGGAAATCGATTCGAATGTGTTTCATTTCGAAATCGTGCAATGGAATGACTCGAAAGTTCTTGATATATGGTGGCCGTGCAATTCGTGGTGGGGTCGGATTCTTTTTGGCTTTCCTATCTCGCCAGTACTGCCGCCATTGTTCATTCAACAAGGTATATCTGACATGATGATCAAAAATTTGCCGTTGAATATGAATGAATACCGGAATGGTTTGAAACCAGTGTTCTTTAACCCGATCATGGAATTTCTCGCCAACTGGTATTCCGATCAATTTCGCTTGATCCAAAAGCAGATTCACATTCGCACTAGTTCTCATAATGTTGTTGAACATAACCGATTTGGTGGCGTTTTTTACATCGATTTCGGTGATATTGTTACCAAGCACTAAATTCAGTTCAAAACGCTTCAATACGAAAAACTTACGTATGCGACTGTAACTCCAAACCTTGATGTTGTTTTTCAAATTGGTCGTGTATTGTTTGAAGAGTTCATTGAAAGCGTTTCCCATGCCTGCACGCTTTGGCCATTGAAAATTTCGGACGACTCTTTCAATTATTTGTCTGAACTCGAGCGGCAATTTGTGCTTGTGCTCATTCAGAACAGATGTGAAACATTTTTCAATCAATTTGTACCCATTTCCGGCAAAAAATCCTTGATTATCTTCGTCAAAGGCTTTGTTGACTTCAAATAAAACCAACAAAGATGCTAAAACCGAAATGACCGTAGCTGTTTCACACCAGTAAATTGTCCAGTTCAGAACCGCTTCTCGGTACTCAGGGCGCAAGCATTGATTCAATGTCAACTTGACATTTTTGAAATTTCCATTGAGTGCACGTTTTCGCTTCATGTCGACGAAAGTGTTTTCACTGTATCGAAAAAGAAGAAAAAGTAACAAAAATTGCATTAAATAATTGCATAAACTTGACTTAAAACACTTAATAATTTCATTTGAACGAAAAACACACGATTCAGCACAAAATGATAAACAAATATATGCTGGACAAAGAGACGATCATCTTACCGTTGCAATGAATTCCGCTAAACTGAATTCAGATGACAAATTTGATGTCGTCGTAGTGCAAATATTCGCCTATTCGAAAATCAGAATCGAATCCGACTTCAAACTAACAACAAAAATCCAAATAATAAATGCATTGATCAAATGTGGAGCACCCCAAATCTTTCGATCGTACGACTGACACAAATGATTTAATGATGAATTTCGATTCCTCACGTCTTTAGTTTGTGAATGTTGTGTTATTTGTATAAAAACAAAAACAATCACAAAATGCAGGCGTAAATAAATCTATTCTTTGCAAACACAAATCCTCTATATTAAAATTCCAAGAAAGAAACCGATTGTATGAAACGACTGTGACGATGTGATGCGATGCACGATGATTACGAGGAGATTTTTTTGAATGTAAACAAATGATGTTCGCCGTCGATGTGACACACACCGCAGCCAACTGTAAAATGTCACACATATTCAAATAAGTTTCGAATTCGAAGTTCGAATTTGCATTCATGGCATGGAATAAAAAAAATAATTGCAATAATAAACGTTTGAAAAAATTCTGTTACCGAAACTAAAATCAAATCGCACAAATCTCTGTATGTATACAAATTGTCTTTTTTTTATTTGCGTCAAACGAATAATTAGAATTGGAAAACAAAATTAAAACTTAACGTTGTATTGAGTCGGGTTCACATTATGCCGTACAATGCGTAATCTGTGTGCCTATAATCAACCTTCAATTTTACACGAAAATAACCACCAAAACGGGTCAAAACGTTACATTTTTCAGCGTTAAAATGGATAAAAAACGTTACAATTTTGTTAGCTGGGTATGTTATAGTAGGTTTTATTTCCGATGAACATGAAAACTGAAAGCATGGAAATTGCCATGCCACAAGCGATGCCACGAGATCTAATAAATTCGAAAGATAGAGAGATCGAAAAGTACAGTGCAACAATGAACTTCCAATGAAAAATAAAATAATACTTACTTGAATGAAAACAATTCGGAAGTGAGAGTGAATGGAATTCCCAGCAGACCGCACGTTGTGAAATAGCTCCATGTCATCAAACATATCATTGGAATGTTCTCGAGTGACTTGTTGTTCAATTGAAATGGTTTGCGATTAGCTTGATCGAAAGAAATAAAACCCGAAGGTAAGTAAGTGAATCCGAACCATGTGATGGTCGCACTAGAAACCAATACAGCTGACATGCAAAATAGGTAAAGTCGCCGTTTGCCCGTGAACCTAACCAAGAGCATCATAGTCAAGGTTCCTGCAGCGGAAAAAAATGATTGAATGGTCATTGCATGGTCTGGTTTAATAGGACTGTTATAGGCTTTAAATATTTGCAACATATACGGTCTCATTGCCATAATGCCTGTAAATGGCATCAGGAAAAAGAGCGTGATAATAATGAAGAGCGGTTTTAGCGTTGATTTTCGTTTTAATTCGGCAAACTTTTCACTCATGGTTGGCAGCGCATGAGTGCATGCTAAATCTTGTTTGATGCAAGTGTAACATGATTTTGATCGTTCACTTTGTCGCTGTAAATCTTCGAATTCTTGAGCTACAGCTTCATATGGCACCCATCCTCGCAGGCGGCGGAGCGACACTTTGGCCGCAGCAGTTCGGTTCTTCGAGAGGAGAAATTGTGGTGTTTCGGGAAGCAACTACAAAGAAGAACATCTTACTTTTGAATTTGAAAGCAAAATTATGAGTACACAGCCGAAGTCATGAAGTTTGTCATCATCAGACTGAAAACTCACAAAGAAAACAGCAATTGCTGTAATTAACGGTAGGTTTGCACAAATAAAGCACACTTTTCGCCAAGACATCATCGTATTCAATGAATAAATCATGACAATTCCACATGAAATACAAATGTCACCATAACCAAAAAAAAGAGATCGATATGAAGGCTCACTGAAAGAAAAAAACAATATTGTTTTAATTAAAATGCAATTTGAGCACCAAATAATTATTAAAATTCAAGACATTTTCTCACCAAATTTCAGCCAAATAATTTATGCTACTGGATTGCATCAATCCATACGAAATTCCAGTAAGCGCGAAGCCGACAAATAATTGACGAACGGTAGATGCCATATAAATTATCCAATATCCGATTACCAATGGAATACTCATCATTAAAAATGATAATCTCCGGCCAATTTTATCTGCAAAATAGATTCCGAGTATTCTAAAGGGTTTTTTATAGAATGATATGTTGGCATAGTGTACCTGTGACAAATCCCGATAATAAACCTCCAAACAATATGAAAATAGTCCCAAATGAGCCTTTATGGAATTGAATCATTCGTCAAAATACTGATTTTCTGATCAATACAGTTGGTTTTATTTATACGGACTACTCACCTATCCATGATGCTTGAGCAGAGGTTATAGTTAGGAATTCACTTTTATTGTGTTCATTACCAAGTGTTGTCAAAGCAGGAATTACAATTCCTGGCAATGCAAGGCAAAGATCAAATGTAAATATGTGCATATGTTTAACTGTCGCAGCCACAAACTAAAAATTAACACAAAAATGGTGTAAAACTTCACATTGATGATCGAAAATTAAAATTTAAATGATAAAAAATTTGCGGACTTGCCTGCGAAAAAAAACGCCGAAAGTTGTATTGGTCATCGTTACGGTTGTTTTGGAATTCCATTGTTTCACTCCTTATAGTTTCTCTCTTTTTACTGAATGTGGATTGACTTAACAAATGTGCAATATTCTAAATGTTTTCAAGAATAGAGGGGATATGAAAGAAAAAAATGCTATCTCATTTTGAAAAGATTTTTAAGTGAAATACCAGAAATCTATACCAGTGACCGGTTCGCGTATAGTTCTATACTTGCCTGAATAAGTCGAGCGATATTGTTATACAGCCGCAAACGCAAGAGACGCATCGCCGTTCACTCTATTTACTCCATACATATGTTCGTGTGCGATGGGGTTGATGCGTCTGCGTCCATTGTTTGTATAGATATCATGTATAGAAATATACGCGAACCTGTCCCTGATCAATACATGAATATCATATTTTTTAAATTTGAATTTAACAGGTTTGTATTGCTAATTTTCGTAATATTATTTGAATAATTCATTTCCTTTTTGCATGTGCAGCAAAATCTGTCATTCTGTTTGGAGAATCACCCTATGTTGGCTACCGTCAGAGTATTTATTGAAAAGTAGAAATACAAGTTTACTTTAAAATTCCTAAAAAAAACTTTACCCGAGAATTCGGCTTTCCAATTGGACTTTGTATAAAAGAGTCTTTGTTTTTGCTATACTCTTGTTAGTATATCTCGTTTGACGCCTTAAATATATTTAAGAATAAAATGTCTTACATCCGTAAGATGAACTTTTCCGCACTGTGATCAAAAACATGCATTTACTACATATCTTTTATTGGAAATCTGAACTCACGAAAAAACTGAATCTGAAATTAGTTTTGGGCAAGGTTTTGCGATACAAATAACTTTCGACGCAATTTTTTTAACTAAAAATGGACATTTTTGTATGGAATCAATGGCTGTATGATATCGAAATGACCTGTGATATTTTGCACAGGGTTTTTTTTTCACAAGATGCTAACATTCTGAAAATTTGAAGAAATATCAATAGAATTTGGGGGTACCTTCCATACAAAATTTTCGTTTTAGTGCGAAAAATCCAAAATTTTGTTTGTGAAGTACGTAATATGCATTGAAATTTCTTTGTATGGAAAGTGTGTCGAAAATTATTTGTATCGCAAAACTAACGTCATATTCGGTTCACTCGTGCCAAAAAAAAAACCAATACATATTTTTGAGTGTTTAAGAATACATTAAATATCACTTTTTTGGATGAGCATCACACCATACATGACACTTCACTGTATCAACCAAAGGCGCTCAAAATCTAATGGTTTCTATTCCTCGCGACCTCCAATCATCATATAAAGTTAGATTTTGAATTAATTTTCTTATAGAGTACGCACATACATTAAGACATCGAAAAATCGACTGATTCATATTCCCTGGCTCCGAAAACACCCAGTGTTAAGTATTTAGAAATACGTTTGAATAATTTGAAAGTTAGTAAAAGACTAACAATTTATCGCAAATCTGGCACAGTGCTGCCTCTGACAGCTGCCGAGTAAACTATATCAACATTGCATTGCGAGCGAAAGCTGTTTACATATAAAGTAATGTGGTAAACAAGACAGGTGGCTACTTGGAGCTGTCAAGACAGCGTATGAAGACTATGATCCGTCAAAATTTTTAGGGTTTTTTCTATAGAATGAACAAAAATAAAACACTGTGATATTTTTTTAGTTTTTATGGTTGATAATAATTGTACCAAAAATTCTCGTACCAAGAACCACGCCCATCCCTCTCAATACATCACTCAAAATCTAATGATTTCTATTCATTCCGACCGCCATCAATCATCCTGTACAGTCAGATTTTGAATAACTTTTCTGGGGGGAGAGTTATCGTGTTCACAAATTTTGCGTACAGAGGACAACGTACGATGTAGAAGCGACCCACAACAGCCATGCTCAAAATGGCCTCAGAAACGTCCAGAAAACATGTTTTTAGGGTGTCGTAAATTTTGACCCATTGCAATACTTTCACACTAGGTGTGCGCGGAAAAGTAAAAGAGCATATAAATATTCCGACATATACATCTAACAAGCAAAACCCATCAAATTACGTGTGATACACGTTCCAATACAATAAGTGTCAATTACAAATGTCATTCACAAGAAAGTAGAAAAAAAATGATCGGATTTTAAAAATCGGTCATTTAAAAACATTTCCTTCAACTTTTATTTGATTTTCGTTTTTTATTTATTGTGGAAATGGTAATAATTGTTTTGCTTCAAACATTTTCAAAATATGTTCTCGAAAAATGGTCGAATAATCAAAGTCTTTCATAAAAAAACTGGTGAGAATTGAATTAGTTCTGAGTTTATGCGTCCTGGGATCATGGCCAAGGATGAGTGAGGTTGCATACGCAATTGCAAATGGTCCACATGATGTTTTATCCTGTTGTTTTGTCTTTCGGTCAACATAAGTGACATGTTTATAGTTGGGATAGCGCTTTTTTATAAGAAGCATTTGTTCCTTTTTAAGGCGTTGGTGGTCATAGACGAAAATCGTTCGATCATCTGCTTTATAAAATATGCACATCAAATGGCCTGGCACAGTGTTGTTGCTTGGTTTTGCGTATAAAATTTGGACATCGTTGCTAGTGGCATTATGAATGGGATAGAATTCGGGATATTGGCAGAAATTAACGGCGACCATGTCAAATTCGGTAGTGGCTGCAACTAAATTTATAAAAAGATTTACGGCTTGGTAGCTAAAGAGGTAATTCGGAGTCTTGAGCACTTTCAATACACTTGGATTGATTTTGGTTAGAGCGGCAGAAATATAATGAATATCCAAACGATCACGTCTATTTTGAAGAGAGAGTGAAAGAGAAAATCAATTTTTTTATGTCTTTAAATAATTTCTTTCGTCTTACCGTGGAAATGGCATTAGTTCCCTTTTTCGAAACATTTCAAATATATGTTCTCGTAACAAAATCGATTTATCCGA